CTGAAGGCGGGCGGGGGGGGGGGCTCTGCAACTTACCTGGCTGCTTCTTGTTCCTCGTGGCCCAACTGAGGCCTGCTGGGAGCAGGTGGCGGGGCTTGTTGCATGTGCCCGCCCCCTGGGCTTCCTACTGCTTATTGCCAGAGCTCCGCTCCTGTGCGCTCCCACAGGAAATGACCCCTGCTTAATACACTCTAAAGTAAATTTATTTGTGCAGCCACAGCTATGCCGCCTGTTTTATCCCTGCAATTCCTCATATAACCATTTTGTTCTCTCACACAGCCGTTTTGTTCTCTCACACAGCCGTTTTGTTCTCTCCCTTCACCCAATACTATCTCCCCCCACATAAACTCACACTCTCCAGGCCTCTCTGGAGCACGAGGAAGGCAAGATCCTCCGGGCCCAGCTGGAGTTCAACCAGATCAAGGCCGACATCGAGCGCAAGCTGGCCGAGAAGGACGAGGAGATGGAGCAGGCCAAGCGGAACCACCTGCGGATGGTGGACTCGCTCCAGACCTCGCTGGACGCCGAGACCCGCAGCCGCAACGAGGCGCTGAGGGTGAAGAAGAAGATGGAGGGCGACCTCAACGAGATGGAGATCCAGCTGAGTCATGCCAACCGCATAGCAGCCGAGGCCCAGAAGCAAGTCAAAACTCTCCAGGGATACCTCAAGGTACCACACCGGAGAGTTCTGGAAACCCTTGCTTATTCTCCCACAGCTCCTCATTTCCCCCTTCCTCAGGGGAGCGCAGCCCATTTTTACCTCATCCGTCCCTTTCATCATGGCTCTTTCCTTTCTCTCCAGGACACCCAGATACAACTGGACGACGTCATCCGAGCCAATGAGGACCTGAAGGAAAACATTGCTATTGTAGAACGGAGGAACAACCTCTTGCAGTCAGAGCTGGAGGAGTTGCGTGCCGTGGTGGAGCAGACGGAAAGAGCGCGGAAACTGGCTGAACAGGAGTTGATTGAAACCAGCGAAAGGGTCCAGCTCCTCCACTCACAGGTTAGAGGAGTCTCAGGAGCAAGATAGTCAATGGTCCTAAAGTTTTATGGATTGTGTCATGGCCTCAAAGATGCTTTCGTGGAATTATCCAGAGCGTCACAGCCTTATACTCTCCAGAAAATGGTGATTTCTTAAAGCAGAGTCTCCAACTTTTTTAAACCTCCCTCACCCCTGAGAGCCAGTTTGGTGTAGTGGTGAAGTGCGTGGACTCTAATCTGGGAGAACCGGGTTTGATTCCCCATTCCTCCACTCGCAGCTGCTGGATGACCTTGGGCAAGCCATAGTTCTGATAAGAGGTGTTCTTGAAAAAGAGCAGTTTCTGTCAGAGCTCTCTCAGCCCCACCTACCTCAGAGGGTGTCGGTTGTGGGGAGTTTGGTAAGTTGTGGGGAGTTCAAGTGAAGGGCAGGGTATAAATCCAATCTTCTTCTTTCTCCTTTTGCACAATCCAGAACACCAGCCTTATCAACCAGAAAAAGAAGATGGAGTCCGACCTCTCCCAACTGCAGACAGAGGTGGAGGAAGCCGTTCAGGAGTGCAGGAACGCTGAAGAGAAGGCCAAGAAAGCCATCACGGATGTGAGTGAAACAGGAGGCTGGTTTGCTTCTTCTCTCAGGAAGGTCCACCTCTAATTCAGGAGTGCCCTGAAAGGGCCAGTTCTAGTTGCATTGGCTCGAGCCAATGTGAAAGAAGGGGTTTATTGCTTCTGTAAGGATAGAGCCCTTACTTCTACAGTACAAAAGCACAGTCTACAGGTTTTCCCCCACAAAGGTGAATTAAGTTCAGCAGAAATAACGTAAACCTATCCCAGAATTCTCCCTTTCCTTTGGCGTATTGTGAGGAAGTAGCCAATCCTCTCCATGGTGGGCCAGAGGCATGCTGGGTTATGAAGAGGATAACACTGAACTCATGAAGCTACACCAGTTTGGTGTGGTGGTTAGGAGCATGGACTCTAATCTGAGAGAACCGGGCTTGATTCCCCACTCCTCCACATGCAGCTGCTGGTGTGACCTTGGGTCAGTCACAAGTCCTTTCAGAGCTGTTCTCTCACAAGCAGTCGTCGAAAGAGCTCTCTCAGCCCCACCTACAGGGTGTCTCTTGTGGGGAGGGGAGGGGAAAGGAGATTGTAAGCTGCTCTGAGACTCCTTCAGGTAGTGAAGGCCTCTATCCTTCGGGCAGGCTCCAATCGCCTCCTCCTCCTCCTCCTCCTCCTGACATTCGGGAGGCCGTCAGACTGAGAGATTCCTCCCCAAGTGAACCTGGCCCTGTGTTTCTGTGTTGCCAGGCGGCCATGATGGCGGAGGAGCTGAAGAAGGAGCAGGACACCAGCGCCCACCTGGAGCGGATGAAGAAGAACATGGAGCAGACCATCAAGGACCTGCAGATGCGGCTGGACGAGGCCGAGCAGCTGGCCCTCAAGGGCGGCAAGAAGCAGCTCCAGAAGCTGGAGGCCCGGGTGCGGGAGCTTGAGAACGAGCTGGAGCTGGAGCAGAAGCGCAATGCGGAGAACGTCAAGGGGATGCGCAAGTGCGAGCGGCGCATCAAGGAGCTCACCTACCAGGTGCGGTGCCCTGGAGGCCCTCGTTCTCCTTTTCTTACCCCAGTCTTGGCTTTGTACTGGTGTCTTTGTGGTTCCTCAGCAGTTCATGCACCAAATTTGCCTCCATTCCAAGGCTGCATTGCAGATTTTAGAAGGCCTCTCATTCAAGCAAGCCCATGGCTATGGTGGGGCTTTGGGGGGCTCCGCCCCCTTTCTTAAAGGCACAGCCCCACAAGATTTTCTCCTGTGAAGGCTTTTTTCAATCATTGTAAAATGTTTTTTAAAAGGCATGTGCTCATTTTTAAGCAGAGTGGGGGGCTGTAGTTGACTAATTCCTGCACTGAGCAAAGAGGTTGGAGTAGGTGACCTCTAGGATCCCTTCTGACTCTGTGTCAAGAAACTGGTCTCCTTTAAGAGAGCTTTTCTGCCGGAGTGTTACCTTTCTTGACTCTAGAAGCCATCACCCCCACCTGCCGGCTTGTTCTCAGAATTGTTGCTTAGGCTGGCAGAAGTGATTAACTTGCAGCAGCTGAGAACTTTTTATTGTCACACTCTGGGGCTAGGATTTGCAGAAGCCTCTATGCTTTGATTTTAAAAGGCTTGATTCCACAGTTGTTGTGGTTCAGTCTCACAGTCGAGTCCGACTCTTCGCGACCCCGTGGACCACACAGGGCCGGCTCGAGGTGTTTCTGCGCCCTAGGCGAGGCTGCCTTGTGGTGCAGATGCCAACCTCCTGGTGGGGCCTGGAGACCTCTGGAGCCAGCCACCCTTTTGCTACCGCTGCCACCGCCTCCTCCTCTCCCACAACTGTCAGACCCAGCGAGCACGCCCCACATCTTCCTGCAGCGCTCCGCTTCCAAAGACAGTTTGGGAGGGAGGTGGGGGGGGGATCCTGTCTCCAGGCGGGGGATGCTCACCGGAGGCCTCTCCCCAATTAGCCAAGTGCTGACACTTGGAGAGCTGCTCACGGGCTTTTGGCGGTGGGGGGAGGCACAGTTTGGCGCCCCATCCAGGGCCCAGCACTCTAGGCGAATGCCTAGTTCGCCTAGTGGGTGAGCCGGCCCTGGGACCACATCACGCCAGACCCTCCTGTCTTCCGTCGTGCTCCAGAGTTTGCTTAATTTCATGTTCGTTGCATCTATGACACTGTCTCGCCATCTCATCCTTTGCCGTCCCCTTCTTCTTTGACCTTCAATCTTTCCCAGCATCAGGGTCTTCTCCAGTGAGTGCCCCCTTCTCATTTGGTGGCCAAAGTATTTGAGCTTCAGCTTCAGTCTCTGGCCTTCCAGGGAACAGTCAGGGTTGATTTCTTTTAGGATTGACTGATTTGATCTCCTGGCAGTAGCTGAGTCATAATCCTCAGAATTCTGGCTTTTCTTTCTGCACTGAGAACTTCAGCCCCACCCAAAAAAACAACAACACTGTTTCACAAGCCACCAAATCCTGGCTACGGGACTGCATTCAAGTTAGAGTAAGATCCGCACTGTCCTCAACACAGGGAGGGTGCCACTCCACATTCATCCACCACGCAAGGTCTCTAGAGATGGTCCCTTGTTCTAGGGACCCTATTCTAGGGTTCATCTACTGTCAAGAAGAGTTTGTACAACCGGGTGGTAGTGGTGGAAAGTGCCATCAAGTCGCAGACCACGTATGGTGACCTATAGGGTTGTCAAGGCGGGCGACTTTCAGAGGTGGTTTCGCCCTTGCCGGTCTCTGCAGAGAAACCCCAGGCGTCCTCGGTGGTCTCCCATCCACGTACTAACCAAGGCTGACCCTGCTTAGCTTCTATGATGTGATGACATCGGGCTAGCCTGGGCTATCCAGGGCAGGGTCTCGTATTACCTAGAATTATGGAATCGAACACACAGCTTAAAAGCGTCTGCTCCGGGATCCAGGAGGGTACGTCAGTTTTGTGATGCTGAAACATTATGGCACATTCATCATAACCGGTCAAGAACTCGGGTGCCATTTTGTTCCAGACAGTGGAGTTTAAGGTTGTCCTGCTTCTTCAAACATAGAGGTGGAAGGGACCTCAAGGGTCAAGTAGTCCAACCCTCTGCGGAACATTAGAAAGTCTGCATAAAATTCATAGATGCAAAGATATCACTGTGTTTCTTCTCTGTTTGTTTGATACATACTTCGGGATTAACAGAGGTTTCTGCAAACCTGGAGAAACCTCCATGTTTCAGGTTTCCCTCGAGGTTTGCAGAAATCTCTGTTTTTGCTCGATGCAGCCCCCTCTTGAAAATTTCCTTTTTATCTGATCGGGGTGAGGGGGTGGGGAGGCCATCCCTGGATATTAGATAAAAAGGTAAAGGTTCCCTTGCTCGAAAGCCAGTCGAGTCCGACTCTAGGGTTGCGGTGCTCATCTCCGTTTCAAAGCCGAAGAGCCGGTGCTGTCCGAAGACGTTTCCGTGGTCACGTGGCCGGCATGACTAAATGCCAAGGCGCACGGAACGCTGTTCCCTTCCCACCGAAGCGGTACCTATTTATCTACTTGCAATTTCTTGCTTTCAAACTGCTAGGTTGGCAGGAGCTGGAACTAGAGACGGGAGCTCACTCTGTCATGCGGCGCACTCAGGTCTTGATTATTAGATACATGATCATAAATCAAAGGCTGCAGAAAACAGACGTCTGGTTTACAGTCTTTATGAACTGTGTTCAAAGCAAATGCGACAAAGAAATGTGCTAGAAAATACAAGCTCGGCGTGGCGTTCTTCTCCCCACCCCTGCCCCCCTGGCCCTCTTCCAGATTAGAAAAGCGGGGTTTCCACTAACATTATAACATTATTCCGCTTGATTTCTGGATGTCATCGGTGTCCTTTAAAACCTCTTCAACAACTCCAACGGTCTTCTCCTCCGTTTGCATAATTTACAACAGCTCCAGCTTTGGAGGGCAGAGGTTGGGTTGCCAACCTCCAGGCAGGCAATCTGGCATGAAAAAATATATACAGATGTGTGCAGGGGTCATTTCGTAGAAAA